GGTTTTCAAGTATCGATCTGATATTCTGTTCACAAAATGTTCGAATATATGATAGATGATATCTTCTCCTTAAAAGATTTCGTCCGTATAACCCTAAGATCCCTCCGCCCACTTCGTCATTTCCCATGTAGGCTATAGTGTGTGGTGTTATGCAACGGTCTCCTTTGTGCATGTCGAGTACAAATGAATTTCCTTATGTTGGCCAAGAGGTGTTTGGTCGATTCATTAACACTATTCCTTGCTGCTCATCATTTCTGAAATAGTGAACAATGTGAAACGATATAATCAAGTATTCGTAATGGTGTGTTGTTATCGGAAGACAAGTTCTTTTCGCATAAGTATGTCTGACCATTAGTACGTGTATTATCTGAAAAACTATCGATTAAAGTGTGGTGAGAGCAGGCTGCTAGCCGATTGGTTGACACTAATCTACGTTAATGTCTAGGTCACTAATATGGGCCGTGAGAAAATATGAACAAGGCTGTTTCAACAACCAATCACAGCAAACTTAAATGTGGACAAATATGATTCGCAGATAGATGGCTCTACTTTCCGAGAAATATCGGAAACAACCAATCATAAGACTGTGTTTGTCTGCTTAACTTCCGAGAAACAACCAATCAGAAGACTGCCTTTTTCTGCTTGCATAAGCCTTATTAATGCACATAAAATATATATAAATACGTGTTGATTTTCGTAATAAAACGATCTGTTGCCAGCCCTTGTCTTCTGTTGTTACATTTGGTGTCGCTGCCTCCAAAAGATGAAGATCCCGTGGCCAGCTGCGTTTGAAGAAGGAGACATACGGAGCTTCTTACGTGACTTCGAGGCCGTTGCTGAGCTGGTGGGTGTCAAGGAGCAGGCGGCGAAGGCAGTTGTCCTGGGGACGCTGTTGAGAGGCCGAGCGAAGGCTGCATATGACAGCGTAGACAGGTCAAATGGCACAGCGTCTTGGAAGAAATTGGTTGAACGACTAGTGTCCGAGTTTGACAGCGAAACAGACAGACAGCTAGCAATGCAGCAGTTCCGGTCAATGAAGCTTGGACCTGATGGAGACCCGCTAGTGTTGGCGGTGAAACTGACTAATCTACTTCGACGCGCGCTTCCCACTTTAGATGAAGAATCAGAAGCGCAGTTACTGTCTTCCCAATTCATCGAGAGTGTCCCAGACCACATTTCTCAGCGATTACAACTGGTTAACGCAACGCAGCCGATGGATATTAGTGAGCTGGCGAAGGTGACCAGACAGCTGCTGAGCACAACGGTAGCCGCTATAGACCAACCAAAACCAAACGAATATGAGCAGAAAATTGAAGCATTGCAGCGGGAAGTGGCGGCGTTAAAGTTGGCTGATAGAAAAGACCGGTGTTTTGAATGCGGTAAGCCGGGACACTGGAGAAGATACTGCCCAGAAAGGCGAAAAAGAAAAAATTTCAGACGGTATAATGCTTGTTCTTTCTTTCGTATGAACCTAGATTTAGTGGGGGCTATTGAGAAAGGGCTCTGTATTCGAAGTTGCGAGTGAATGATCGAGAAGTAGTATGTTTGATAGATACAGGGGCGGCCGTGTCGTTAATAGATAAGAATTTATGTAAGAGTGTTAGTCCGTGTTCATTGACAGTACAAACAGTAGGCGGGTATGTGTTGCGTATCACGGGTAGATCGAACTGTACGGTCGTTGTTGGTGGCTGCGAGGTGACGTTTCCTTTCATTGTTGTACCCGAACTACAGCGAACGATATTAGGAGCGGATTTTCTGCGTGAGATTGGTGCAATAATCGACACGCAAGCGAACGTGGTGATCACGAAATACGGGCATATCAACATGTATGAGACCAGCGAGATAGCAGCGATTAAGCTGTCGACGGTACACAATGTGACAGAGTTAATTAATAAATACGATCATCTGTTCACTGGAGATGGCGACCCATACGGTTATTGCGATAAGGTGAATCATGAAATTCCGTTAAGTGATCCGAAAGTAAGGTCATTTTTAACGCGAAGAGTTCCATGTCATCTGGAAGGCGAAGTGGAGCGACAAGTGCAAGAGATGTTAAAAGATGATATTATTGAGGAAGCTGATAGCCCGTACAACTCTCCAGTGCTGTTAGTAAAAAAAGCGAATGGGAAGTATAGATTCTGTGTTGATTTTCGACAGTTAAACAGTATGACAGAGTTAAGACCGTGTGCCATGCCAACAGTGGTAGAAACCTTAGATCGCCTACAAGGTGCGAATGTGTTTTCGGTTCTCGATCTTCGCTCAGGATACTGGCAGATACCGATAAAACAAGGTGATAGAGATAAGACGGCTTTCATCGTGGGTCAGACACAATATCGATTTAAACGCATGCCGTTTGGACTAGCAGGTGCACCGTTTACGTTCAGACGACTGATGAAGCTATTACTTAGAACTTGAAAAACGTGGAGGTTTATGGTGATGATCTCGTCATATACAGTCAAAACGAAAACGATCACGTCAACCATGTAGAAGCCGTGCTGCGACGCATCGAAGAGTTTGGACTACGCGTCAACAAAACCAAGTCTCAGATAGCCAAAAAGAATGTTACTCTGTTGGGACATAAAGTGGGAAATGGTGAGATTAAACCACTGCCGGAGAAAATTTTGACGATTAAAACGATTCCAGCCCCGAATTCAAAGAGAAAACTGAGACAATTCTTGGGTAGAGCAGCGTTTTATAGTCGCTTCGTGAAGAACTTCAATGAGATAGCAGCCCCTCTATACAGGCTACTAGGTGAGCCAAAGTTTGTTTGGTCGGAAGAATCGCAGAGGACATTCGACAGAATTAAACAGCTGCTCGACCACCAACAAATGACGCTAAAACTACCTGTGCCAGGAAGACAGTTCACAGTGTGCACAGATGCCAGTGACTACGCTATAGGTGCGGTCCTAAGACAGGACGAGGGAATCGTTGAGTATGCCAGTAGGGTTTTGACCCTCACAGAGAGAAAGTATTCAACGATAGAGAAAGAATGTTTAGCAATGGTATGGGCAGTCGACAAATGGAGACCTTATTTACTCGGCCGGCGGTTCCACATCGAAACTGATCATAAGCCGCTACAATTTTTGAAGACAGCGAGAGACCCACGGGGGAAGTTGTCACGGTGGATGTTGCGTCTTCAGGAGTACGATTTTACGATCTCACACGTTCCTGGAAGTGAAAATGTCTTGGCAGATTTGTTATCGAGACCAGAAGATGAGTCTGAGTTGCCCGAGGTCGCTTACGGAGTGCATGCAGTAGAACAAGACCCACTAAGACTTGCACGTAGGCAGAGGTTGGACGATACGCTGAATACAGTAATACAGGTGATCACCAACGGAATAGAAGTGGATCAAACTACGGCGAGTAAGGAGCTAACCACACTACTCAGACAGAGGGATCGACTCAGAGTGAATGCCTACGGGACTCTGACCTGGCGAGAGAACGACGGAAGCTGGCTGGCTGTCATACCTCAATCGTCGCGCCACGACATGATAGAAGAATGTCACCAGCTAGCGCATACAGGCGTGGCCAGAACGACCGACCTCCTAAGACAAAGTATGTACTGGCCAGGTATGAGAGAAGACGTAGCAAGATACGTACTTGGATGTCCACGGTGCCAGCTGATGAAAGGTGACCGGTATATACGACCACCACTTCAGTCGATTCCAGTTACCGCGATAGGTGACTTGTGGTCCGTAGATGTCATGGGTCCATTTCCTCAGACATCCAATGGTAATCAGTACCTCTTGGTGATGACGGAACACGCGACACGATGGGTAGACGCCGTAGCAATCCCAGACCAACGTGCAAGAACCGTGACAGATGCAGTAGTTAGACACATTGTTGCAGACCACGGCGTACCGAAGACAATACTGACAGACCAAGGTCCCTGTTTCGAGAGTGAAGAGTTTACTTCCCGTTTGCAACAGCTGGGCATCAAGAGGATCAGAACGACCCCATACCATCCACAAACGAATGGCCTAACGGAGAGAAACAACCGTACACTGAAGGAGTGGCTGGCCTCGAAGGGCGGGAACTGGGAAACGGAGCTTCCACTGATTTTACTAACACATCGGGCTACCACTCAGGAAACAACGAAGAAGTCACCCTTCCAACTGATGTATGGTAGAAAACCACGATTACCGGTACACAATGAGACCTGGCCCATGCACCAAAAGTGGAGTACGACGAAATTAAAAGCAGAGAGGAAAGAGGCAGTCAAGAATGTAATACGGAAGCAGCGCAGTGATGTCACGAAGTCTCAGATGAAAGAAAGGACGCAGTGCATTACCTTTGCAGTCGGGGACCAAGTGAAGTGTAGAGACAGGAGATATACAGTTGGAGGCGGGCTAGGTTCACGGAAACTCCTTCCAAAGTGGGAAGGACCATACACAATCACAAAAAGACGGGGTCAAGTATATACCATCCGAAGAGGTGATAAACAGAAACGAGTTAACGCCAGTCAGCTCCAAAGATGGGTACAGTGGGACAAGCCGGTCAGTAACAATCCTCAACTAGAGGATGTAGCACCCAGAAGGTCGGAACGTCTGCGCACGAAGCTATTTGACGGGGGGACGAGTGTGGTGAGAGCAGGCTGCTAGCCGATTGGTTGGCACTAATCTACGTTAATGTCTAGGTCACTAATATGGGCCGTGAGAAAATATGAACAAGGCTGTTTCAACAACCAATCACAGCAAACTTAAATGTGGACAAATATGATTCGCAGATAGATGGCTCTACTTTCCGAGAAATATCGAAAACAACCAATCATAAGACTGTGTTTGTCTGCTTAACTTCCGAGAAACAACCAATCAGAAGACTGCCTTTTTCTGCTTGCATAAGCCTTATTAATGCACATAAAATATATATAAATACGTGTTGATTTTCGTAATAAAAGGATCTGTTGCCAGCCCTTGTCTTCTGTTGTTACAAAAGAATATTGAAATTTGTACGTAATCGGTTGTCATAGTGAAAAACAATTTCTGAAGAACTGACAGGTGGATCATCCATGATTATACAGAAGGATAGGTACAATTGAGGAAAATTCTTAAAATTAGATTAAAACTGAGAATATAGAACATTTATTAACCAGTTAATTATATTAGGAGTAAAAGCCAGTTTGGATCGATTTGCGTGAACTACACATGTCATTTCGTTAGTTTGAGTAACTCAGAAGCCCAGTTCGAAGTGGTTAACTTGATTAATTAATACGTTATGCAATATCAGATATGGTATTCCAATATTGATGGCTGTCAGCAGGAGGATAAGCGTCATATGCACAAAGAATGCAGCCACACAATAATCGTCATTAACTGTTCTGAACTGTGGTCTACCAAATGCTGATTGACCACACGATAAACCATACTAACAGAAATGGAAGATGAAAAAAGCAGAAGTGGAGGAATTTATTGCTAGGAAATAATTTCTATGAGATATTTCTCAAAACCTAATTCTTTAAAATACTTTCGCCTAAATCTGTTATCAATTAAATATATTGGTCCACGCCTCTCTGATCTACAAATGCAATTAATAGGCCAAGGTTAACCAATATCTGCAAAGTCGTGAAATATTTTCATAAACATTTCTCGCTTCCATTTTCAAGAGTGGGTTTTCAAGTTTGATCATGATAGACTCACTGAAAATTGACTATGAAGTATTGTCACTTACACTACTTCGTCCTTGTTTGGCTCTCTTCATCACCGTGTACCCATGACGTCGTCAGGGATCGAACGCCAGCGCTTCAGGGTTATATGGCGATTTTGTTGACTTTTTAACCACTCGGCGATCGAATCTAATCGCCAGCCTGTTGATTGATATTTAATTAGATGATGGTTCTAGAGTCACTTCGATTTCATTACAAGTGAATTTCAAAAGTGATCCAGTGTATCTGTTGCATTTTTTCGACATATTGATTATCATCCACCGAAGAAGTCACTTTATTATTTAGTGACACGAAACGCAAGAATGAATCATTTGGAACTGATACCTTTTCACTTCACTGACTCATAGATAATCACACCCACTCAAAAGTTTATATTTGTATGGATATATATGCTTTAGGTTACATAGATAAATAACTAACATTCACTGTAATTAGAAAAGACGACTTACAGGGATTACTAATGCAGTCAATCCGAAGCTGAGAATTACCAGCGCCAATTTATACTAAAAGGAGATTTGACAAGGCGTTAAGCGATTCCATGTAATGACACCAAGTGCTGTTAAGCACAAAATATACACAAACACATAATGGAGAAAATGTTTGTAGTTCAGGTGGATGATTTTGATGTAATTGTGTTCTCTGAGATGGATAGATGGTTCGTGAGGCTTTCATTACCTTACCAAGCAACATCCTCACCTTAGCGCGTAGTTCAATTTGAAGTGACCTTTGAGATTTCTCCACGAGTTTATTAGTCACCCTGACCCTGGTAAGTACGAACATAAAATGGTTGGTTGTTTTTATATGTCTTCACACCCTTTAGACTACTTGCCTTTCATCAAAAGCCTTCAAATAGATGACGAATAAGTAGAAGTCTCCTTCAACGTCACACCATTATATACATCAGATGGAAAGAAACTAGTAAAAGAAACTATGGAGCAGTTAATCAGCATCGACGAACACCTTTCACAACAATCAAAAATGTACCATACAAGTTGGATGGAATGCATAAACCTATGCATAACAACATACTACCAAATCAACGGCCAAATATATGAACAAATTAAAGGAACACCTAGGGGATCGCCCATATCAGGTTTGGTCGCAGAAGCTGTGATGCAAAGACTAGAAAACATAATGCTACCAAAGATCAAACCTGAAATTTGTATACGTTGGGTAGGTAACACACTCGCGACAATCAAACGAAACAACGTGGGCAAGACTTACAACGGAACATCGTAAACAACATCAAATTCATAGGATAAGGGGCATTTGAGGACAAAATTCCATCAAGAGGACAACCGCAGAAACTGAAGCTTACAGAAAACCAACTCACAAATTCAAATTCTCGGATACGACAGAAACAACCCAGTAACGCACGAGAAGAGGCGAATACAAACATTATACAAGAGAGCCAGTCAGCCAGCCAGCCAGGGCTTATTGCAGCACTCCTACCTCAAAGGAAATTCAAGACAAAAAACCTCATGGAAGTCTTCCGAAAGAACGGATATCCACGGAATCTCATCAAAAGACAAATACCCTCAAGCCGCCAACCTACCAAATCAAAGACCCCCAAGGAAAGCACGAAGCAAATCGCCCTACTGTAGGTGAAGGACATCTTAGAAATCAATGCAAGACTCTTCAAACCTTAACGAATTGATTTATCAAACAAACCAACAAAATCACTCAGCTCAGCTGGCTCTGTGTCAACCAAAAGACTCAACAGCGAAAGGAGATGAAACCAACACCGACTACAAAAACACTACATTGGACAAAGTGAGCGTACTGTTCTTCTTCGCATCCATGAACATAAGCTAGCCGTCAAAAGACATGACAACAACTCCCTCATATCACTACCTACAGACAACCACGAACATCAATTCAACTGGGACAACGTTCAAATATTACACAGAGGAAATACCATGAATTCCAGAGAATTTTTTAGAAGCCTGCCTGGTATACCAGGGAATGATCAATGAATAGACAAATTGACATGGGCAGGATTTCCCAGTCCATGAGAACGAAATGTCAGACACATAGGCTCAAAGTTCAGGTCAAGGAAGCAATCAATACCAATACACGTAAGCTAGAGGATGTGAAAACACACAAAAACAACCAGTAACGTCCAGGGTCAGGTAACCAGGGGAGGTGACTAATAAACTCTGGGAGAAATTTAAGAGCTCAATTTAAATTGAAGCATTGCCTGAGCTGCTTAAATCTGTCATCCATCTAAATGCCTTGTATTTTTCTCCGCTCCATGCTGTCTTAATTACCCAAACGGCACTGTGAATCATGGTCTGTACATGTGCATATTTTCAAGTCAGCTTTTAACTATCCCTACGGATCTTATCGAAGGAAATGGATGAATAGGATCGTGGAAGGAACAATACTGATTCAGCTGATATACTATTGATTTAAATTATGGGTTTCCATAGGGATTTAGGTTGATCTCAGTACAGATTTATTTTAAGACCAGTATCAGTTAAATAGATCATTGAAAAGCTGGGGATACTGGAAAGCTGTGTCGTCGTAGGCTGAGATTCTTCATCAGGTATGGAACGCAGGAAATTCAGGCTATGAGACCAGGTTTGTTGACCATACAGAAATTCGGGCCTGAATCCAGTGATCCGTAAATTCTAACTTTCTGAACTCGTGATACAATGTTACCCTCAACTGAAGCCTTCGATTCATACTGAATTCACGTTGACATGATGGAACTCACTGGTCAGGACTTCTCAGTTCAGCTTCAGAACATCCATCTAGTAGGCATCGATGAACTGGAGACTAATGTTTAAATAATAGGCGTAGTTAGGTTTCAAAGGTCAATAAATTCTGTCTCAAGTGTCCGCATATACGGCGAGCTCCGTATCATAATCGTTAAGTCTCCATTTCAATCCCTGGCGAGGTCTGGGGTCCGCGCGGCTGGACAGTCCCAGACTAAGACAGAATAGATGTCCAGTGTTCCCAGGTATTCAATTGTCTCTAAATGAATTACTTCTTGACGAAATCAACACTGAAACATCGGCGAATATTAGGTTATGTGAAGATACTGCATAAGGTTGCATCATCTTACAATCAAACAAGCTGGAAATTCTGTGTTGTGTTATATTCTCAAACTCTTCAGTAGTACACACCCACTGAGATTCGAACCCGGAACCTTTTGACCAGACCTTTCAGCCATTGGGCTCCAATCATGGTGTCAACTAGTGACCAAACCTGTACCCAATCAGATCTCTGCAAACCAACACTTAATATTTACATATATGTCTCTGAAACTGGTTTGATATTCAAGTGTTGGTTTGTAGAGATTTGACTGATTGGTTAAAGGATTTCATCACGAGCGGGAACTGGTTAGAGAAGTAGGATGAAACAGCTGTACAGTACTCCCAGTTCACGATGAAATCCTGTAACCAATCAAGTTTGAGTTATCAATTATTCAGCCATCTCTTTGGAAAAATAACCCGAAAAATATCTTTTGAGGAAATTTGAGATTATTCAGGTAGTTTCGGGTTTCATCAGTTGAATTAAGGAATTTTGAGGAAAAGTTTGGGTATTTAAGGGGTTTAAGGATGTGTCTTGATTCCCTACACGTTTTACACTATGTTGCCTCAAAGCTACCTGAATATTCTAAAACTTTTTTATGTGAGTAATCAGCTAAATCCAGCTTGGTAAATAATAAATTATGAGCTGAACCATGGAAAAAACAGAGAGTACTGGATAGCTGTTTCGAACTAGTTCAGGACTCTTGAGCGGTTCACATCCATCAGAGTTATAATTCAGGACCTTCTGATTACTAACGGAAAAAGTGTAATTATTTCATTTTATCTAAAACTTATTACAAATATATAATATTTTACATTTTCATTGAACACTTACATTTCCTGTCCCATAGTAGACACCAATTGAAACAGCTAAAGTGACAACCAAGACAGTAATATCGTATATGAGAACTGCAATGTAATGACGAGATAGATCAACTGGCAGTGCTGCACCTATTGAGATTAGTAAGATGTACAATACGACAGCTGATCCCGTCACTATGAGCACCCAGTTAAACTCTTTCTCAATAAACGGTATTCCTGTGAGTACAGATGCTAATATCGACTGTAGAATAGAAAATCGTAGTGTTTGAGTATACCGGAAAATTATTTTGATAAAAAAGTAAACTGTCTGTCACCTTATCATTTATTATCATTCTTGAAGAGCCCCAGCTTTTTGGATGTTTTAGCAGGCACAGCGCTGTTTTTGTGGGGTAAGGTTTTTTGATATGATTGTGTTCTCTGAGATGGATAGTTAGTCTGCAAAGCTTTCATCAGCCTACTAGGCAGCATCTTCAGTGCATGCCTTAATTTGAAGTGATCTTTTCAATTTCTTCAAGAGTTTATTGGTCATCTCTCCTGGTGACCTGACTTTCGACTTCACTGGTTTTTTCTGTGTGTTTTCACACCCAGTAGGCTTTTTGTATTGGAACAGATTGTTTCTTTGATTTGGACTTTGTGACTTTGTGTGTGAGATTTGCTTCTTATCGGTTGATAAATTTTGTTTATGTCGATTTGTCTATCGATTGATGATTCACTGGTATACCAGGCAGGCTTCTGAAAATTCTCTGGCATTATTGGAATTTCCTCTGTCTAATATTTGAACGTTGTCCCAGTAGAACTGATGTCCGTTGTTGTCTGTATGGAGTGATATGAGCGAGGGAATAGATGTAATTTCTTGGCATTTAACAACCGATAAGAAGGAAACCCCACACACAAAGCGTCTCAATACAAGTAGTCAAGAGGGCGTGAAAACACACAAAAACAACCAATCACTTTCAAGGTCAGGTCACCAGTAGAGGTGACTTTTAAGCTCGTGGAGAAACCTAAAAGCTCACTTCAAATTGAAGTATGAGTTGAGGTGAGGATGTTGCCTAGTAGGGGGCAATGAAAGTTTCGCAAATAATCTATTCATCTCAGAGAACACAACCACATCAAAATCATGCAACTGAGCTACAAATCTTCTCCATAATATCTATAGGGTAAGTTTGCTAGACTCACCCCCAGCTTTCCCTCTTTCCTAGAGTTACTATCTTCTGGTGAGCTAAGTGATACTTCACAAGTGCACCAAACAGGAATCAAATCCGAGTCTTCCGTGTGACTACCCATCATTTCATCACCGAACCATTGACACAATCTCCATATCATGGTGTGATATCTTGAATGAATTGTTGATCGGGAGCGATTCCATGCAAGCACTTATGACTCGTAACCTGCATTCATCATGATTGTTGTCCCAATAAGGTGTAATATTCTGTTTTAGTCATTAATCCCTCAGATGTCATCCAGAATTGTTAGTCAAAATAAAACGGTATATTTTGATATGACTAAAGATTTTAAGTGATGTGAAACATTCCTTAGGACTTAACATAGTTCTACACTCGATGTATGTCTCAAAATCAGCTGGTATCTCAAAAACAATTTCATGTAAATGTGCTGCCAGTTTCGATGGTATGATTGTCAGTTATACACTCAAACTGTGGAGATTTGACTTTAAAAGTGACTGCGAATTAGAATAACTAATCCTTCACAATCGAGAATTCGATTGTTGTAAATTTCTAACACCAACTAATTTACGAATTATCAATACCTTATTGATTTACTCTCCCGCTGACTGATAGAGAGAGATGTCATCTCTTTGTGCACAGGAACTTTGATGATGCGTGACAGCCAAATTCAAGAAATTCAGTGGATAGTGACTGGTGATGGAATCCAGGAGTCGTATCTCGTTCAATTTGGGACTCGTCAGTTGGACGCATCTGTATTCCACAGTGATTGATGATGTCCCCACTGAGGCTCAAACCGAGTAATCGTAGTTTCAAACGCCAGAGCGTTTCCAGTTGGATCATAAAGGCCGTGAGAGTTACCTGCTGTGCAACGAGTATCAGTAGTTATTTCATTTAATTTGGGAATACTATGACTCACTGGGAAATATAGGCACATAGAGCTGATGTGTCTCCAGCCAGGATGAAATGCTATCCCTGGATTCCACTACTAGTCACAATCTATGAAGCATTTCTCAGAACTATCTGCTTTAATGCGAACAACCTAAATAATACATTTCTCACTGTTTTCTTCAATGACTATTATTATGACTAATCAAATAGTTGGAGATATTACTAATCTAACAAAAGTAATTTATATAAAAATGCTTGCAAGAATAATAAATTTATACATTCATACATGTAACAGCATAATGAATAAATTTAGTGGAAATTTTGTTCTTATTGTATCTAATGTGAACAAGAGAATCAACAATATCGCCTCAACAGGTCCACTGAAATGAAGAGAAGAAATTTAGGCGTGTCTATATGTCGTAAATATGATTGATAAAAATGAAAATGAAATTAAAATTAAACATGTGTGAACTAAATAATTTTGTATGAATAATATGGGTGGGTGATCCTGTTAATTTATTATCAGAGTTGGCTTGGATTTCACTGTGTTATGTATGCTCTATGTCGCCAGTTGAAATGAACTTGTCACCAATTGATATGACAGGGTCGACACCTGGTTTGACCAAGTGGACTTATGCGTGTGGGTGTTACATAAATACCGACGCAATGAACAACTCAGCTGATCTGATAGGTACATCTATTCACCCGTGGTACCTTGCACTTCATTGAGTCAAGTAAATATGAGAAGACAAAGACTGACCCGTGTGACTGTTGGGATACAGTTTTACTAGGGAAGTGTCCGTCATATTAATATATTTTATAGAAACATTAAAATCTACGTAGGGCAGTGGAAATGGATTGTTCTGATTGGTAGGCGATTCAGCTAACGTAGGCGAGAAATAAATATTCTGATACACTGGCGATTTCACTATAACGAAGATAAGACAAGGATGATGAAATTTGACAGTCGTCTGACCACGCAATGAATCATTCAACGATTACTGTTTTAAGCTGATTCCTATCACTCTGTATGATGTTATACATGCTTCGATTCGCTAACTATTACACAGAAGAAAACCTCATGCAATCGTCTACATGCCAAGAGATTATGTAAACGCCCAGGGCTATGTAGTAGTCTTTCAGCTGATGAACTGCTTGGCCAAGGCGACTACCTCAGTAACCCGTTTTTGAGAAGTTTTTATTGAGTTAAGTATCTTGCACGTAGAATTACTACGTTCTCATTCGTGAAGAAAACCGCGAATCTATGCGTCTCATTTCGTATAATACTTTACATGATTCATCACGATTTATCACCTAAAAATGCGTTGTATTTTGTGGAGATATGGACTGTGAAATGCATCATCTTTAGTTTATAAAGCTTACCACTTTCTTTCATTCCATGAGTTCATTGAAAACATTTGAAAAAACTTTCGCCAACTCATGCGTTTCCCTCTATTCTGACTGGAGATTTAATACTTTGAATATTTATTAGGTATTTACGAGTGTCAAGAGTCTTGTCCGTCTTTTGATGCAAAGTGAATTTTCCCGCATACGACTGTAATGTGTTCACCAGGGTAGGTGACTCACTATCGTGATTCAGTCTGAATTGATGTAAGGTGGTTGGAAGAAGTTTGCAATAACGCAAAGACCCAGGTTTCGTACCAGCTGGTATTCATCAGCAGGGCGCATCTGAAATCAAAAATAAGTCATTTGCCCCTTAAGTTTTGAACTCGAGTCATTCAGCAATGCAGTTATAAGCCTTAATAGTGAGCTCTTCTGATGAATGCTAGCAAGTGTGAAACCTAGATCTAGTGTTTCCTGCCAATTTCCACCAGCCATCTGACTTCATTTCAGGGATTTATTAAATTAAGTGAACTTTAACGGTGATGTCAAGTCAAAAACTAGACGAACGGATAACTTAAGAGATTCAAGTGTTGTTCGTTAGATATTCCTCTCATTTGAGTTAAAAAGAAATCCACAGATATATATCCCTTTTGTTGTCTGAAAGACAGCTGAACACTCCAGTTCCATCTGTTTCAGTCTAACATGATATCATTGTTAAAGTGTAAAGAACAAAGGATACTCTAACACGCATTTCACTTGGCTTGTGATATCGAAATCATAAATCGTGTGAAATTATCCTCCGACAGAAGCATTAAAATCACTCTAAAAATAAAAACATATAAAATAAAACAGTCTGATGCAGTAAATGTAAAAACACATCTATGCTAATATTTGACAACATATTCTTAGTACACTGTGATGGATAGGAGGTAAGTCAGCAACGAAGATGGCTCCGGTTTGGGTCTGAAAAATAAGCAGTTAGGTATTCTGGTCGACCTACATTAATGACATAGCAGGTGGTATGGGTATTGTGATGATGGACATCAGAATAACGAATAATAATACCTATAATCAGCCGACACCTTCATCAAGGAGTTACGTAGACTTACCATTTTCGTGTACTTATCCATAATTCTTTGAATTGTAAGGTATATATATCGTCTTCAGTTTACCACCCTGCTAATACTTCTTATCTCCACTGACGATTCTATCGAATTCTGGAATGATTAATAAATTGTTATTTATTGTTAGCGAAATTGTTATGTTATGTTATTTAGAATGAAAGTGTATACTACTGACTGATCGAAATGAGTAGTTACATAACACTCAGATCAAGTTGTTGTGTTTGCTAGTTAGGTTGAAGAGATCAAACCACTGAAAAGCCGATTTCTTCATTTGACGCTACGTTCATTAGCGGTACACCCAGAGCCGAATCAGTTCAAACCACCGGATTTCTAGTTGCCCACTTGGACGAACTGGTGTTACCATAAGTGAAATCGTCATTTTGACATGACAAGTCCGCTCAGTGGTTTGAACTATTTCAACTCTGTTAGATGAATCAAACCGCGTAGACCTCTGATGACCTCAGTCACAAAATGAACGATACAGTTGTTCTGTATTTTGGGATCACTTCGAAGTGGCTACAAAGCGATACTTGTTCATGCGAGAGATCAACAACCGCTGATCTCAATCAGTGTTATTTCGTTTTGTGCAGATCTGCTTGTTATCTTGATGATCATCTATGGGGTCAAACACATTACATACTGTTGTGATCTTGTAACGACAGAAGACAAGGGCCAGGCAACAGATCGTTTATTAGGGAAATCAACACGTATTTATACATTTTCGTGTACATTATTATAGCTTATTCAAGCCAACAAATACACTCTTCTCAATGGTTTTTTCTCACCGAAAGTTGACGTTGCATCTATTTGTGGCTGTTTCTTGAATGTCAGATCATCTATATCCTAACCGTATCTGCCTACACAAAGTCTGCTGTGATTGATTGTTGAATCAGTCTCGTTCATATTTTCTCACCACCAAAATTTCCGATATAAACATTGACGTAAACTAATGTCTACTACTTTTGGCTAGCATTCCCCTCTCACCACAATCTGACTAACTTGATTTCCAAAGGCAACTACAGTGAAATTTCACCTCTTGAACTATTTAAGTAGTAAATTGGTAACCAGTCTGACAATTGTGAATTTGATTTACAATGAAAGTGAATGTAATCCTCAATAGAAGCACTTGTAATCATGAGAATTCAAAAGTATGGGGAAGAAAATATTTCCATTCTCCAATATATTTGATTGCACGCTAAATAGTAACTAGTGTAACGTGTCTAGTCCTTTCTCCAGTGCAGACTGAACTGTATGAGTCAGTCAGGTTTGCAATATGGCCGCCATTCTAGGTAGCTCGCCAACACGATGCACACTGTGATTTGATGCTGTTAGATGGTTGGAATTCAGTCTGCAACAAATAAAGGTCTAGACAGATCACACTAGTTACTAGTGTCCATTCAAAGTATTCAGTAGAATCCTACAGGAGCTCAGTCTTGAGTCAGCCCAAATAGCTCAGCGATGGTAACGTCTCTGAATGCAGCCCCCACTGCTTGACGAGGGTTCGAATCTCAGAAGGGACATGAGTTCCTACAGGGCTTGAAGGCTTCCTTCCAATTCCCTTCAACCATCTCATTCTCCGAAATCATCAATAAATAAACTAAAAAACATTGGAGAAGAATTTGTGGTCATTTCAGTGGAATATAGTTCGGCAGGAGACAAGTGCACTTGATATACCACAGAGTGATACAATATCATTAACTGTATAATGCATTCATTTTGTCTAAATCTCAACATATCTCTAAGCTCTTCAAGCACATAAACTCAACGGTAGGTGAAATCCAGTTTACTTTTAACTGAGAAAATCAACAGAGTGACTTGTCTATCCCAAACTGGCTAGTTAGATACTAGCATCTATAAGAAACTGTCATCTTCTCATAGATGCGTAGACTTTGAACCAGGGCATCCAAAATCGACAAAAGCAGGTTTATTTAAGTTTTTATTCAATCATACCAGAAGCCTAAACTACAAATCAGGGAATTTAAATGAATAAGTAACTTCGCAATAAATTTTACTAAATAAGAACCAGAAGGTTACTGATATAAATAGTGAAAATATAAAATAATAAGGGAGACATCTGTCACATATAAAAGAAATATCAGAAACTCTGGATAAAATTCCTAACAAGACTAGAATTCAAGTGTCATTCAAATTAATGAGCTCATTCAGAGACAAATCATGTCAGCCTTAATGAGGCCTAAGATGTAGTTAGGCAATCTACTTAACTCTTGTCAGTTGGATTATTGGAACATCTTATCCGTTAGGACTAGAAGTCATTGGAAAAGATTATATTCTTGGACAGCTAAGTAAAACAACTCAAAGATACCAAAGTTTGCCCGTGTCCTAGGTGATATAGAATAATATTAGGTGAGAAACCTACGATTTACTATATTATTAGCAAAATAAATGGCTCCTCTTTCTTCTCCTATATATAATTTATGAAGAAAATATTCCAATTAAATTATAATTTTATCTATTAACATTATTATTATCAGTCTGAATCATGTAATTTGCATTTGCGCAACACATTTCGAACAATCTGATTACACACACGGACTTGTCATAGGAATGTATGTATATGAAATTAATAACCAGCTGAGAGTTGAGAAAATAGACTCAGGTCAAGCTGAAAGGACATATTGAAGGTAAAAATAACAATGAAGCCAACTAAACCAATAAGCACAGGTATTAATTAGTACATCTACCCTGGTTTGCTATCAATATACAGAGTTTACAAAGGAAGAAGGTCTAATGTGTTGAAGAATTGTTTTTGAAAGCATAAAGGTGGTTAAAACTTCGTAATGGCCAACTAGGGCTTCCACAAACTTTAAGATGCGCCCCAAACACGTTTTATGGATGGATAGGTAGCTTGATGTACCCGTCTTTCTGAGTGGCGAGTTTCTTTGTGATCAGACTGTTCGAAATGTGTTGCTTAAATACACTACACGATTCAGACAAATTACGTCTTTTTATTGTTTCGTCTAAAGTCATAAAGGGAACTAAATGTTTTAAGTTATAACTATTCATTATTATTTTACACTTTTTGTACATTTTTGACCTTATCGTCACTGAAAGTATCAAAAAGTTGCCATTGTCAATTCTGTATTATTATTTTTATTTTTGTTTTTATTATTATTATTACTGTCCCCTTGGGTTCCTAGTGGAACATAGGGCTTCAGCTGCACGTCTCCACTTGCTTCTGTCTTCTGCTGCAGTACTTTTCACCTGCATCCATCTTAGTCCATACTGTTACAACTCCTCTTCACACGATCTCCTCCATGTCACCCTTGCACTGACGTCCCACTCGCCGCTTCCCATTCCGTCGAGTTCCACTCGAGCAATGGCCTGACGAGCGCGCGATGTCACCCAGCGACCTCCTCAGCGAGTAGTGTCCAATCCATCTCCACCTTCTCCTGCATATTTATTGGTTGGCGATTGGTTCTTGTTTTGTTTGTTTGTGCCCATAGTTTCTTGTTGGTGAGATTACTAGCTCGCTAGTTTTCTAGCAGGTCCCATGCCTGGATAAAGAGGGAGGGTTGGGGCGTGGTGCTAGCAACTCCACCGCCAAAAATTAACTAAATTACTACAGAAACTTCAGCGCAAAAATATGTTAAAATGTTTTGTTTTAGCTGCTGTCGAATAAATTAGATGGAATGTCGGACAAAATCTTGAGAGGTCTACACTATCTATCATAAGTTCAGTTTAGGAATGAAGTAAAAATTGTCACTGCTACTAAAAGACTGTAGGTTTTGAAACTAATTGACTCCTGCACCGGTTTAGAAGTTTTAAAGGATATCTGTTTCATTCATTTTTCATACATTTTAATGTGGTTGTGTTCTATGAGATGGATAGTTAATTTGCGAAGCTTTCATTGCCCTACCAGGCAACATCCTCACCTCAGCGAATACATCAATTTGAAGTGAGCTTTCAGATTTCTCCACAAGTTTATTAATCATCTCTCTTGATGACTTTAGACGTGACTGGTTGTATTTGGGTGTTTTCACAACCTCTAGGCTACTTGTATTGGAACTGATTGTCTCTTTGATTTGAACTTTGACCCTTTGTGTGTGAGATTTCTTTCTTATCGATTGGTAAATCTTGTCTATCTTCATGTGTCTATTGATTGATGTTTCACTGGAATGCCAAACTTCTAAAAATTCTCTAGCATTCTTGTTGTTTCCTCTGTCTAATATTTGAACGTTGTCACAGTCGAATTGAAGTCCGTGGTAGTCTGTGTGAGGTAGTGGATATCGTGTTTTTTGACGGCTAGCTTATGATCGTGGATACGAAGACGAAGGGGACGTCCACTTTGGCCAATGTAGTGATTTTCGCAAGCATTGCAATTTATTTTGTAGATGATGTTGGTTTTATCTTCTTTCGCTGTTGAGTCTTTTGGTTGACATAGAACTGAGTGAAGTGACTTTGTTGGTTTGTGTAAGATGTCAATTCCTAAAGGTTTTGAGATTCTTATAGGGATTTCTGAGATATCCTTTGTATATGGTAGGGCGATTTTCTCTCTGCTTCGCTTGGGGTCCTTTGATTCGGTTGTCTGGGTTGATGGTAGATATCTTTTGATAAAATTCCGTGGATATCCATTCTTTTGGAAGACGTCCATGAGTTATTTTTCTTCAATTTTCCTTGAGGTGTGAAGGCTGCAATGAGTCCTTGCCCTCTTGAATAGGGTTTGTATGCAATTCCTTTTTTGCGTTATAACACTTATCGAGGTGGACAAAATTTGTCAGCCTATAAGAAGGAAACCTCACACACAAAGAGTTATAGTTCAATTCAAAGAAACAATCAGTTCCAATACTGGTAACCTATAGGATGTGAAAACACACAAAAACAACCAACCACGTCCAAGGTCAGGTCACTAGGAGAGACGACTTATAAACTTGTGGAGATATCTGAAAGCTCACTTCAATAAATTGAAGTATGCGCTGAAGATGTCGCCTCGTAGGGGGCAATGAAAACTTCGCTAATTAACTATCCAGCTCAGAGAACACAACCACATCAAAATGATCCAGGTGAGCTACAAATCTTCTCTATCATATTTTTCATACAGTTTAACTTCACAAGTAAATGTGTGAGGGAACAGATTGTCTGTTGTTCGAAGTGTATTGTTGCATCAATTCATCACACCACTTTTGTTTCAGATAATCCCCATCTTCTAATAACAACACCATCCAAACTATCTATCACAGCGATTTACTGGTACTGAATAAGGACGTCCATTCGAAATTGCAAAAGATTGATTATTGAACAAAGAATATTCTTATCTTCTCTATAACCTGCTCTTCTTCATCGTGTTTTACAGTTATATATACATTCATAATAATGACAGGATGGTTGCTGTTGACAACATTAGCGGTTTTTATAAAAAGAGATTAACATCGAATCGTTTAGATTAGAATTGCAAAAGTTATTTGCGATTAGATTGTCAATAGATTATAGTCCAAAATATAGTTTATCTTTTTATTTTTGATTACAGCCTGATTCCACACTGTATTTTTGGTACAAGTATGGAAATTTCAGCATGGATATCAGTAGCCCAAATTTTACAGGCTGACCATAGATATCAGGTGTGCGACGACAGGGGATCGAACCTCGGACCATATGTGTGTATGTGGTAAAATGTAAAATTGTAATATTAAATTGAACAGCAATAATACAAAGTAAATGACTATGAATGATAACGAATGTACAGGAATAAATTCTCATGGGTCATGTTCATATTAACTCCTACTCATATTGAATATAAACTTCAGATGGTTGAATGATCATATCAAAGACGGGAGGAGAGAAAATTTTGAGGTAGCATTTTTTGTGAGTTGTATGTGTTTTTACGGGTTTGGCGACGGATTAATATCAGTTAGAGAACCATTGAAAACCAGCCACAGGGAGTACTGGACAGTTGTTTCTCCAGCCTAGTTTGGAATCATTGGCAGCACGCACCCATTGCCAGAGTTCGAGCCCAAGACATTCTGGTTACAAGGCAAGGTTGTATACCATTCAGCCGTTGGGACCCGACTCAATGGCCAGCCCATGAATTCTAACTTCTACCAATTCCTCATTTAGCGCGACCACCAACCAATGTGGTGTTCTAGTGAGAAGTCGTGACCAGTGAGGTCCAACTAGTCAACTGTGAGGATGGATTTCCCACCGATGACATGAGTTGGTAGCCACATGTCCTACCTTCTCTGTTCAGCGGGCTTATCACCAACCAAGCAAGGTTAAGGAGTGTGTTGACCGGGAATCGAACCCAGGAGGACTTGCATAGTTGGCGAACATTCGCTTACTGAACCATCGAATCACTAAGGGAACTAATTGTTATGAAATTTAATAAAGTAAATAAACCAATGAGAAACACAATGACAGAGAAACAAATACACAGGAGATAAAACGCAAAAAGCCGTGAGGTGTAAGGAGAATTGAGTATGTTTAGAAACACATGAGGAGAATGGTATGAACAATAATTATACAACGATACACTTACCTCATTTAATTTCTATGGTAGCATCAAAATCATGTTGATTCCAAAAGTATTTATAGGTTATCTGATCTGTGATGTGCTACATATTAATGTTAGTGAAGTACTTATCTCAAAATTCTGTTGTAATATGCGTAGGAAAAAAAACGTGTGAATAGACTTTAGTCACCATGTATGAAAATTGATTTGTTGGCGTTATAAATGCGAAGGAAAGACTTTTGTACTGTTATTTTTCTCAGCCAGTCTACAATAATTAAATATCATAAAATATATTATTTATTCCTTGCGATCACAGTAGAACATTGATCTACAGGCACACATTTCCATGGCACCCATGATCTTGTTCAAGTACCTATTGGAGGTTCAACTTTGGTGTTAATTCAGTGTCATTACGTGTGTGCTAGTGGCTCAGGGATAGGATGCTTACCGAATACCCACGTGGTTTAACCTTCGGCCGAAACACTTATAAGTCTAGTAAAGAGGAAAGTTCAGGTTTAAAGGTAGCAACCATGCTCCGTTAAAATAAAACCACTTGATGCTATGTATGGCTGCTATATCTTGTTCTATAAGAAATCACAATTAATTCATGAACTCTGAGGTGGTCAGAATATGTATCTGGTCCCTAACGTATGATTTATTCGGATTTTTTCTGCAGATTGTAATCCTCAGAGTAGCAGAGTGAATTGTCTAATTTACACACTCGGAACAAAGATTATTCAGGATTTCAGCCTAGGCATCATCTCTGAAATTTAGGTTCATGAACAGAGATATCCTGGTAACAGTTAGGCCTAGTGACAGCGGCGATCGCCACCCCCCATGTTTGAGTTATTAAATCTAGGTGGATATCCATTTTGTAATAAAGTGACATGAAGAAGTCCCGCCACAGTCTTTACTGTATGTTTCAACCAGACCATTCAAATCTTCAGGTTCAGAGAACGTGCTAAGTCTTGTTTTGAGAGAGGTGGGTTGTAGATCTACTGTTACGAGAGAAGACAAGGGACACGCAACTGATCGTTTATTGAGAAAATCAACAGATATTTATAGATTTTTATGTAGATTATTGTCAGTGGAGAAGCAACGCCTTCTGATTGGTTGTTTTGTTGCTGAAGGTTATTCACTTATCTCTTTGTGGCTGTTACTCAAATGATCAAACCATATATCTGTGAATCATATTTCCACACTTTAACTCCACTCTGATTGGCTGGGAATTTTCTCAAGGTTAAAGTTTGTTATTGTTTTCTCATGACTCAGTATTATTTACTGGATGAAGTTTCGAACAAAATTTATTGTTCATAATCATATCATCAGTAATGATCACACGACTTGGAAACTTGACTTTTATAGTTTTATTTGTTCTCTCCTATTTGTCGTAGGGGTAGTAGAATTTTCCAGATATATGAAACAGGTGTTGAATCATTCCTATTACACTTATTTGCAGTTGATTCGATGAAAAAAGCTTCTGTTGTCAATTTTCCCCCCACCTTGTTACATTAGATCTTAAAACTGTCATCTTATCCTACCTCAGTGTACACTTGTATGAAATTGCATGTAGCCCTATAGCTGAACCATTCTCTAGATTTCTTATCTTATTCGGGTTAACCAATCTACATTTTGCTAGGTTTTTATGCTCGGCTAGTCTGACTGCTCCCTTTCTACTAGTTTCAACGATGTATTTTACCTGACAATCATTATTATTATTGCTCCCTTGGGTTCCTAGTGGAACATAGGAAGGCTTCAACTGCACATCTCCATTTGCCACTTCTGTCTTCTGCTATACTTTTCGCCTGCATCCATGTTAATCCATATTCTTTCAACTCCTCTTCACACGATCTCCTCCATGTCACCCTTGCACTCACGTCCCACACGCCGCTTCCCTTTCGGGTTCCACTCGAGGGCTTGGCGCGCGATGTCACCCAGCGGTCTCCTCAGCGAGTGTCCGATCCATCTCCACTTTCTCCTGCATATTTGTTGGGCGATTGGTTCTTGCTTTGTTTGTTCCCATAATTCCTTGTTGGTGATTCTTTCCGGCCATCTGATCTTCAGTACAGATCAGCGAAGACAGTTGTTAATAAAGTTCTGCAGCCTTTTGGAAATATACTTTGTGACCCGCCAAGTTTCTGATCCGTGAAGAAGAACTGACTGACTTTACGTTTGTATTGAAAATCCGAATTTTGTTGGTGATGCTGAGTGACGAAGATTTCCAGATTGATTTCAGGCTGATGAATGTGTTTCTCGCCTTCCCGATTCTCGATTTGACATCCTCGTCCGCTCCTCCTGTAGTTGAGACAATGCTTCCTACATAAGTGAATGAAGTAACCTCTTTCAAATCCCTCCCGTTGATGGTGATTGACGTTGGATGTTGTTGCTGTTGTTGGTTGGTTATTTTCATAGCCCCCGTCTTGTCTATGTTTACCTGGAGTCCTGTCTTTGCTGCTTCTTCGACCAGTTTGTCGGTTTTCGCTTGTAAGTCTTCGATTGTGTGTGATATCAAACATAAATCATCCATTGGCGAAATCCAGGTCTTCTCGGTTCTTCACGTCGGTCCAGGATATTCCTGTCTTCTCGTTTCTCACTGTCTGACGCATAATCCAGTCCACCAAAATTAGGAATATCATTGGTGATAGTAAACACCCTTGTCTGACTCCTGTGTTTACTCCAAACGCCTCGCTGAGTCTTCCGTTGTGGATCACTTGGCACGTGCCGTTGTCGTACAGCTGTTGAATAAGGTTGATGAATATTTGGGGTACGCCATAGTACTCGAGTAATTTTAAAATTACTTCGCGGTCAACGCTGTCGAAGGCCTTCTCAAAGTCTATAAAGTTGAGGTAGAGGTTTGATCGCCATTCCATGCTTTGTTCTGTGATGATGATGCGTAGAGTTGCAATTTGGTCAGTACATGATTTGCCTTTCCTGAATCCAGCTTGTTCTGGTCGGAGTTCTGTCTCCAGTGCGTCCTTTATTCTCTCCAGGATGATGCGACTCTGGATTTTACTTGGCGTCGATAGGAGCATGATTCTTCGCCAGTTCTTGCAGAGTCAGGCGTAAGTCGCCCTTCTTTGATAGTTTCACGAGGTAACCTTTCCTCCAGTCAGTAGGCACCTTTCTCTCCTTCCAGACCTTTTACAATAATGGAGTCAGCATGTCTGCTGTCGTCTCTGGGTCTGCTTCCAGTGCTTTAGGGGGTATTCCATCTGGTACGGCTGCTTTTCCAGCTTTCAGAAGTTTGATTGCGTTCAAGACTTCAGCTCTCGTTGGAGGATTGGTGTCAACTTGCAGTTAAGTGGGCGCTGTTGTTGATATTTCTGGACGGGTTTTAGGTGCTGGTCAGTTCAAGAGTCCTTTGAAGTGATCCGCCAATTGTTTAATCTGTTTTTCTTCCTTGGTAATGGGCTTCCCTTGGCTGTCTTTTGTAGGTTTCGCTTGTGTTGATCTCTTCCCGGAGAGAGATTTGGTTATCTGATATAGTGTCCTCAGGTCCCTTTTGCCTGCTGCCTTTTCAGCTTCAGTAGCTAGATTGTGGTAGAATCGTCTTTTGTCCTTGCTAGCACTTTTCTTCACTTCTTTGTCCAATGCTCGCAGCGTATTAGATAAACTAAACTGTTTTGTTTCGAAGGCTCCACAGGATACTTAAACGGAGGAAGCTTGTTTCTGATTGCGTTTGTGGGTTTGAATGTCACTTTTATCCCTGCCTTGTTGAGAATTCTGGGTGAGAAATCCGAGGTTCCTTCCTTGTATGGAATTACTACTGATGATTTAGGTTGTGTTGTCTGGCGCATGTTTGACATGCTTGTCGTCATCAATATTGCTGTTATAATTACTAGTATTTGGAGTATTATTATCACTATCACTACTATAGTAATTTTTTTATTTTTGCATTTCCCCAAATGCTTTCTAACCAATTTATCAGGGTAATTATTAAGTTTCAAGGCTTCTCTTATATGCCTGACTTCCTGTCTTAGATTTTCCTTTGTACTACTTAGGTTTTGTGCTCTGTCACTTAAACATCTTACCAATCCTATTTTTACTGATATTGGATGTGATGATCGGAAGTCCAAATATCTGTTTGAATGCGTGGGTTTCCTGTAAGAACTGGTGTTGAACTTCCCATCTTCTCTCCGTTTTACGCCACCATTTAACATTGGAAGTTCCCCTTCCTGAGTACTCAATTCACTAGTGAATTTAATTGCCTCCACGTTTGAGTTAATGTGTTCGAAAAATTTGTCTATATCCTGTGTTCTAAGTACAGTGAATATGTCATCTACATACCTCCACCATACTTTTGAGGTGCGGTTGAATGTGTCAATCGCTATGTTTTCACACTCATATATAATTGTCTATTTTCACAAACGTGTGCCTAATTTGTTGTGTATTTTTTCTATAGTAATTCTCATTCAATTATAAAACTGTACTTTCTGTGTGTATATATACCCTTTCTACTGCATTTCGTCTTGAAACGTGTTTACTCTGAACCATTTCACCTTGTTCGGAATATTCTCAGTTTGTTTACTTTGACCATGATTCAGCACTGATTTTCACCTTCTTGAAAGTGCTTTGTCTGAATAAATGCTCCGATATCAATTTACGAGTCTCTTTATTTACCAGATTCGGGCAGGTAATTCCACTTGGAAATTGTTGACAATTAGTTGTGTGAATAGTTAGTTAGCCGAAACAGCTGATTGACAAATAACGTAGCTTGTCAGCAGCTAGTGTCGTAATAAACTGACAGTCAAGTACCATAGAAAATAATCAAAGGATTATTGATCCCATTTGGAGTTAGAAATGTGAGCTGTTTGTGCTGAGTAGAAGTATTTTACTGTTCAAATAGTTCTCACGCTTTGATTATGGGTACACCTACCTCTCAGATTTATTCTGTATCTTTTTACCTTATTATTCACTAATAAACACATTTTTATTACTTCAATAATGCTGAACTTGTTTCCATTCAACCTTGTCTAGAATATTACCTGGTCCTTAGGTCGGGACATAAGGAAAGTTGGGTTGGGTGCATAGCGATTGAGAATTCAATGCGCAGAAGAAATAATTTAATTCTTCACTGAAATTAGGGAGA